CTATGAGTAATAATAAATAATGCATATCAACATGCATTTGTATAGCATTTTTTTTTTTACAAACCTTATATATATATATTTTTTTATATTAAAGCTCATATTTATTTTGTTGCATAATTGTATATTTGGATGTGTATTTGGTGCAGTTACATTGAAAGAATTGTTTGAATAATGGTGTTCAAGTGTGCATATATTGTATTTGTTTTGGTGTGGAATTGGGTTGTGTGGAATTGGGATGAAGTGGGTCACCATGGGTTTGTGAGAATGGTATATGTGATATGGATCCTGAATATGATATGAAATTTGGCCGGGTAAATGGAAGATCGGCGCCCCGTGTGCACCTACTGCTATGATCTGTGTGATATGGAAAACCACAGGTTGGTTTCTTTATTGGGCGCACCTGATTTGATCGCAGCCCGCAGGGTGGCCTCCTGTTGTGAGCGCTTGATGATCTAGATTTGATGGAGACGACCGGGTTACCTCCTGTTGGGAATAGAGAGAATGGAAAAATAATGAGAGGAATGGAAAAACAATGAGAGGGCTGGTTCAAAGTGAGGATTTTAGACCGGAAAATCGGCCAGTATGGGGGATCGCCCGGCTCCCTGGTGGCACATGTGAGAGGATGAGCCATGTGGAGAGGACGCTGCTCATCGGGGGGGTTCGGTCTGATCCCTACTATCTCCACGTGATGTGATTTAATTGAAGGTGATATTGTTTGTGGGGGTGATGTAATGTCATCTGATTGCTGATGTTGTGTTATTCAGTATACTAGGGTGCATTTTGCTTGACTGTGTGTGACTGTTTGTGATGTGTATTATTTATTATTATTCACTGAGTTGCAAAACTCACCCCCCCAAACAAATCTCCCAGGTACTAGGAAGTTGCCGGTTCGACTGAAGCTCTGCACTCTTCTTCGCAGAGTCATAAATGTAAAAGTTATATTCCTGTTATTTAATTTGGATTGTATAAATTATTTTTTTTATCTGATTATTAGTGAACTCCGTAGTTATAGGGTTGTGTATTAATATTGGACTTATTGTTAGCACTACACTATAAATTGAATATTATGTAATTAGCTGCAGGTGAACCAATAAGCCCATAATGTGATTATAATTTATTGTGAAAACAGGCGCCTGGTTAAAATTTTATGTATATTGAGACATTGGGGTCAGATGTTTGAAAAATTATCAACTTTATCCTTTTAAGGTCATAATGGGCTTACTGTTTTGATGAAATTGGACAGATAGGTTAGATAGGATGGATAAATTTAGGCTTTACTTACGGGCCTCGGGGCCTAGCTTACCTGAGCCGGCCTAGTGTAGGCTTACTACGGGCCTCGGGGGCCTTAAGCTTACCTGGGCCCTAGTGCCGGTCCGGCCCACGGAAACGGGTCGTGACAATAATATATATTTTTTTGGGAAGAATAAAAGAAGTTGAAATATTCAATATATAATAATAATAATAATAATAATAATAATAATAATAATAATTTTATTGAATTCCTTTTAACATTACTAACACCAATGTTTTTAAACATCAAATTACTTATTGGTGTATTTATTTATTTTAATTTAATTTTTAATGTAACGATATAAAGTCGAATTAAAAAAAATAAAAGAAGATTTGTGTGAATATAAAAAAAAAAAAATTGTGAATTTTATGATGTTGATATTTGGAGGTGGGGCCCCCTAAAGAGACATGCTTCCTTATCCAGAAATCTACACAGATTTGAAGTTGAACTCGTTTCTCTCGTGATCCAATTATTTAATACAAGTGGTCGACAAAAATAATAATGATATATAATATAAAATTTCCTTTTCTCTTAATATTATTTTTCACTCTCTTATTTATATATTACACAAATAAATTAACAATCTCATAAAATTAATAATAATATACGTAAATTATTGTAATAATTCATTTTTCATAATGTATTTTTTTTATATGCTTGACATAATCTTATCATATATCAAAATTTGAATTTTCATAACTTAATTTATAGAATATTTGACCAAGTCTAGTCAAAATTTGGAAATATTTTTGGTGTGATTGATTGTAAAAATTTTTTATCCTTTTATTTCAGTATAGTTCTTGTCAAAAGTCTAAGTATCAAGTTTGATTGCAAAGTTTTTTTAAGGAATGAAAAAGAAAAACACACCACTAATCTAATATGGAAAATGTAAAATTTATGCAAAAAAAAAAAGTCAAAATAAATAAAATAACTTTAATTTTTTTACAGTATTTTCCAATTGCATGGAGTATTAAATATAAGTAATTTAGTAGGAAATAATTTATTTTAATAAGAGTCGGGATGTGAATGATCATTTTAAAAATACAGATTACAGAATATTCAGACATATATACTAATTGGTTGATTCAAACGGTATTTATAAAATAGTAATAGAAAGTGGAAAAATCAAAGATTTGACATAATATTTTTATCGAAAAATCAATTAGATTTATTTTGTATCTTTGATTAATGAGAAAATAGTTCAATTCTACAAATCAAATCTATCAAGGAATCACATACTTAAGAAATGATAAAATGAAATTAACAAAAAAAAAAAAAAAAAAAAAAAAAAAAAAAAAAAAGGAGGAGGAGAGAGGAGAGAATAGAGAAGGATATTAAGGGTCTAAAAAAAAAAAAAAAAAAAGAGAGAGAGAGAGAGAGAATAGAGAAGGATTAAGGGTCTGTTTGGTAAAATTAATTGTTTTGATAGCTGTTAGCTATTTTAGTAGTGTTTATCTATTAATTATTTGAGTAATTCTTTATAAAACACTAAAAGTTTAACGATACATGGATTAACTTTTTATAAAATGATACTTTAACTTCTAAAATTAACTTTTTATAAAACATTAAAATTGAACGTTACATGCATTAATTTTTTATAAAATGCTACTTTAACCTCTAAAGTTAATTTAAATGCTATGTCATATAACACTATAAAAATAGAGTTTAGAATGCTACTTAAAAAGCTAACGTAGAACACAATCTAAATAAATTTAAAAAAAAAAAAAGTACAAAGGGGGTTAATTTCCTAGGCACGAGACCAACATATTAGCGAGTGGGCTCAGCTCTATATCAGTAGCTAGCTAGCCTGGGTCAATGTTTCAGACCTATCAATGGTTTAGTTTGGACCATATCATTAAAATAGTCTTGTTCTTGTCATCCCTTATATATATATATATATATATGAGATTTTAAATTTCTTAAATACTTATTTCATTTGAAAATATGTTATGTTTTAAAATACTTATTATATTTATGGTTTAAAAGAGTAACAATTTTATTTTTATATTTACCATTTGTATATGACCAGCCATTATTGTTTTAATTCCTCAAATTTGATGTTTCGATGTATTAAATTAAGATAATATAATCAATTTATTATAACTTACACAAATTTAATTATTTTTTAAGAATCGTGAAATTTTAAATATGATAAGTATTTAATAATAAATGTAGTATATATATAGATTGTTACAGTAGCTAATTGGCGCGTGAGGGCTAGTTCTTTGTGATCGCACATTTTGTAAAAAGCAAAATTACTATAATTGGGTTTGACATATTTTCACTCACATATTTAATTTATGAATTTTTCTTTTTGGTTACATTTATGTTGCACTATTAAATTTTTAGTTTGTAGTGTAATAGTAATCAATTGAAACCAATGTTGATTTTGATAGAGTGGTTAAATCTTCTTCTCTCTTAATTAAGAGTTTTAAATTTAAGTATTAAATATAAAAATTATCACATCAAGAGAGTCACCCTTCTATATGGGCCTTGCAATATTCAAATGGACGCAGTCGGCATACAACGAGCTTTCGAATACCAGTGGTTATATTGTAAAAAAAAAAATCATTGAAGTTTGTTTAGCGTTGTTTACTGTGGATGTACTAACATGAGAGCCCAATCCCAAGCTCAATGGAGGGAATTGAGTTCTTGGACAATAGATGGGAGAAATTGGGCTTTAACTTTGGAGAGATGGTGATTGGCAAGACTAAATTGATCGTGGCCCAATAGCCCATATATATTTCAATGCAGGCTTTTATGATTGAGCTCCTTTGAAACTTTTTTCTTTTTTTTTGGGCTTTGGGCTGTGGAAAAACAGATGGTTACTATTTTTGAGCCCATTACTTAGCATTTTCCTTTTTCAGCGAAAGCAGTTAGATTTCTTTTTTTTTTTTTTTTTTTTTTTTTTTTTTTTTTTTTTTTTTTTTTTTTTTTTTTTGGGACCGAAGACTGTTAGTTAGGATTTAATTTATTCGTTCATGTTAGCAAACATGACTAAACTAGAAGACCACTTCGTGATCAACAAGTTTACATACAATTTTGCATTTTTTTTTTTTTTTTTTTTTTTTTTTTTTTTTTTTGGGACCGAAGACTGTTAGGTTAGGATTTAATTTATTCGTTCATGTAGCAAACATGACTAAACTAAAGACCACTTGATCAAAATTCATAATTGAATCCCTTCAAACATAATCCACTTGATTTACCTTTTTTTTGTTATCACTTCTTTTAGAAAGTTTTGACAAGAAAAGGCATATGTTTTTATTTTAATTGATGAATTTTTTTTATTAATATTTTCCTAAAATGATTTTTAAAAAATAGAAATTATGGATATTTTTGTGATGAATCAAATTATCATTCTTAAGGATGGATTTTTTTATTATTTATATAAACATAATTATTTTCCTTGAATATAAATGAATTTTATTGAGTGTTAATTTTCTTTATACATTAAAATGAACTAAACACATAAAAAAAAAAAACATAATCAACCATATATTCGGTACCAAAAATAAATATAATTAAGCAATAAGTATAATTAATTAATGGAAAATGACTTTTTAAAAAAAAAAAAAAAAAGAGGGGAAGAAAAGAAAAAGTGGTGGAGGACCCAACAACCAGCTCAGTCTTATCCCTCGTCAGAGGGCTTTCCTTTTAACTAGGACACAATCTTTTTTCTTTTCTCCAACTATTTCATTCCCAATCCATCACCTTTTCCTTTCTTCAATAATTTTCCCATTATCATTTTCTCCTTTTCATGCCACCCAAACAAAGCCCCTTTATTCTCTGCCCCTTCTACACATTGTCAGAGCTTTTTATTTTCCTTTATCACGTTTCATTTCAATCCCAACAAGGAAAGAAGAGCTCACTTTCCCTCCAAACAAACAGCCATTCCCATCCAACCAATAATCAACTCTCTCTTTCCTTTTCTTTCTACCCAAACAACAACAACAAGAAAATAACAGGAAACAAGAAACAGGAAAATGGCAGAGTTTGAGTATCAAGAACTTCTAAAAGCAACTGAAGGGTTCTCTCCATCAAGTCTCATTGGTAAAGGAAGCCATGGATCAATCTACAAAGGTATATTCCAAGAAAAAGAGATTCTTGCAATCAAGAAACCATCTTTCGGTCTTGATCATGACAACTCCAAGAAACTCGAGAATGAAATTTCTGTATTATCATCACTTCAAGAAGCCAAAAGTCCATATATAATCAACTTTCTTGGAACGAGTCATGACTCGGAAAAGCAAAGCAAGATTCTAATTATGGAGTTCATGCCTAATGGTTCTCTTCATGACTTATTGCACGTAGCAAAAACACCACTTTCTTGGTCTAAACGAGTTGAGATCGCTCTCCAACTCGCCAGGGCAATTCAAATCCTTCATGAAGGCAAGCCTTTGATTATTCATAGAGATATTAAGTCTGCTAATGTTTTGTTTGACTCAAATTTTAATGCTAAGCTAGCAGATTATGGACTAGCAGTGTCATCAACCCGAGTCGATCCGCCGAGTCAACCTGCTGGCACAATAGGGTACATGGACCCTTGTTATACTATTCCAAGCAAATTAAGCCCTAAAAATGATGTTTACAGTTATGGGGTAGTTTTATTAGAGTTAATAAGTAGTAGAAGAGCTATTGATGTCAATAGAACACCAGCTTCAATAGTAGAATGGGCGATTCCACTGATAGAAACGCAAAAAAATACAATCTTGGAAGAAATTTGTGACCCAAGAATTGGGTTGCCACCAATTTTCTTGGAAGGCATTATTAAGCATTTATTGTATGTGGGTGCACGTTGTGTGTCTTATAAAGAAGAAAATCGCCCGTCAATGGCCGATATTGTTACAGGTATAGATAGCGGGTTTGGATTGGTCGACAGAGTAAAAGTTGTATCATCACATTTACCTAGTTGGAGTAGTGTTATAAGGAGTTTTATTGTCACGAGAAGGCAAAAAAAATTGGGTAAAAAAGGAGATTATAGTGATATTTCAAAAGGGAAATTTTTATTAAGGGAGATTCTGGCTGATATTACACTCAAATGATGAAGATGATGATGATGATGGTTATTATCGGTTTTGAGACACCAAATGTATAGATTTATCTCTAAAATTTAATCGATTTATTTTATAATATCCTTAAATTTGTGTGAGATCTATCGTGTGAAAGGTGGAGAAATAAAAATTCAAATATAATCATTACTGAAATGTAAAAATATAGGGTTACGATAGATTCTCCGTAAATTTGAGAGTATTGTAAGACAAATTGTATAAATTTTAAGTACAAATTTATGCATCAGGTGTTTTTGAGACGAGAAATTGACTCGGTCAAAGTTTTTAATTAATAATTTGAAGGTGCAGGGCATGTATCCAAACACAAGATACCCAAAAGTTGGTGGGAGACGTTCTGTCATTCTATTGTGGTGTTACAGCTATGCTTTCTTTCTCTGTTTTTGCTTTTTATAGGATATTAATTAATTAATTAATTATATTTGAATTTTTGTTTCTCCATCTTTCACATTTTTTTGTGTATTTATTTCAATATTTCTGTTAGTTAATATTACTTTTTTTTTTTTGAATTTGAATATAGGGTTTTGAAGTTTTGGAAATGTTCATTGACTTGTTCTCTATTATATATATAAAAAAAAAAAAGAAATGTCGATGAACTTGTAGATATTATTTAAATAGGTTATGTAGTCTATTTTCTAGATGAGTTTAATTACTAATTTTTAGGATTTAGTGGATTTGGTGAGAATTCTATTATGATGGACTTGGACATGTTAAAAATTGGGAAATTATTTATACCTAATAAATTTAATAATCATAATTGACATTTTTAATGATGTAAAAGTATTTTTATTGAAAAAAGTGGAAAAAAATAATAAAAAGTGATTTTTTTTAAAAAAAAATCAAGTATTAACTGTATATATAAGAAATGAATTTACATCAGATTAGCTAGTTCATCGTTACTCAGAACGATTTGGTTAGTTTTATTTTTTATTTGATAATTGTATTTGGAGAAAAAAAACTATTCTTACTGTGTAGCTATTAATATTATTTTCATTCATTTAGCATTATTCTGTAAAAAATTGAAGGGAATATTGATAATTTATTTCATTTATTTTTTGATTATCATGATTGGAAATATAAATAATTAATGGAACGCTAATTTGGCCTAATTAAGTCAAACACTTAGCATAAGTGATGTTTGAAGTTTTAGACTTTGACGCTCAGTTTTGTATAAATAAACGAATTCAAAATGTGAAATTCATTTATAAATGAATTTTATTGTAAATAAATTTTTCATATTTAGAACAATTGTAAATAAATTTTTTATGTTAATAATAAATTCAAAAATTGAAAATTCATTTGTTTTTATCTTTCTAAACATAATAATTTTAAAAGCTAAAAGGAGAGTTTTGTAATAAAATTTTGAATTGTTGTGAAATTTATTTAAAAATTCTTTTTATTTAGTAAAATTTGATTTAGTTATATTTAAATTCATAGAATATATTCAATGGATTATATAATCTGCTCTAAAGTCACCATTGTTAGTGGACGAATAACAACATGAAATATTATATTAGATTAGCAATTTTGATTTTTGGAAATGGAGGATATATACATTTGACTGATAAAGAAACATTAACCGATAAGAGCATGAGCAAATTTGAGTTTTATGTTTAAACTATAAATAAAATAAAAAGAAAGGAGCAGTAAGAAATAAAGAATATTCAATTTGCTTCTTAAATTTAAATAGGATATATAATTTGCTTATTATTATCTAAATTTTACACCAAATGATCAAAAACTCAATCTGTAGTTAAAAAGAATAAAAAAATAATAATTTTTAACATATTACTATTATTTTTCATAACTTAATAATGTTTATTTTTAATAATTGTAATAATTTTATTAATTAAAAATATTAGAACTTATTATTTTGCTTTGTTTGTCAAAATTTGGATTTTTACTTGTTCAATTTAATGTTAATGTGATAATTATATAAAAAGTTAGATTTTTTAATAAATTGTATATTACACTCAAGTTTATATAGCAAATTGAACCTCACTAAAAAAAGATTTTAGTTAAATATATATAATTTATATAAAATTTTGTTGATTTTCTTAATTTTCAATTTAACTTATTAAAAACATTTAACTTGTAAATAAATTATTATTCAATAATTTTTGTGATTTTTAAGTTAAAAGATTTAATAAAAATATTAGCATTAACTTAATTAATTAGTTAATTAATTAATTAATTTAAATATTTTTTTTGAGAAATATATTAATTAATACGAAATTTTTCTTCTTTTTTTTTTTAAAAAAATTACATTCATTGATAAGTTCAGTATTTTTTTTAAAACTCAATTAAATTAAGCATCCTGTATCAACTCTATTGTGAGTCTACCCTATTCTGGACCGGGCGGTTCATTCCGGTTCAGAAACCTAACGTAACAGACTAATTCGACATGAACAAGGACGATTGAAGCTTTTCTTCACTTTTGTTTCTTACAAATCCAATTACGCCCTTTTGTTCTTCTCTATCATAATTGAAACCCTAACCCTAATTCTATATAATTCCATTGTAAAGCCTGTAATCCCTCAATCGGTTGAAAAGCCTCTTGCTTTAAGAAGGCGATTGATGCGAAGAAAGGCTTAACAGGACAATGGAGACTCAGTTCACTCACAATTTATTCGAGCGACGCCCCATTATCAAATCTAAGACTCCTGCTGTTAAATGGTTCAGAGAATGGTAATTAACTTTTAATTTTCAGTTTTTCATTTTTGTGTCGGTATGATTATCTGTTCTGTTATTGTTTAATAATAGATATTGATTGTCAAGAAATCTCAGGATAATTAAAAAAAAAAAAAAATTTAAAGTTTAAACTTGAAGTTGTGTAAGAGCTAAATATGGTGCTATACAGAAAATATTTTGGTTAAATTGATTGATTGTTTCGAGTTTCGGCTTTTTGGTTCCTGTTAGTTCAGTTGAATTGTTGTTTTGGTTGATTGAAATTTTTGTTCTAGCTTTATGCTAAGGTGACTTAAGAAAGAATTGGTGAAGTATTGGTTCTGATTTTATTTTCAGTTAAAACTGTAAGTTAAAAAAAAAAGGGAAAATAAGACTTTAGAAGGCATTCATATGCTGATTTGCCATTCTAGAAGCTTGATTATGGTAATTTCCGGACATATCTCTTTAAACTGTGAGATGAAAATTGAGTAAGCCTTTTGAATAGAACTCATTGTTGGTATTTGTCTTCTTCTTCCAGTTTTATCTGCTTCTGTTCAGGAAATTTTTATATTTAGATTTCCTTCGTCCCTGACATTTTGTTGTGTTTGTTTTGGATTCGAAGCCAATATACAAGCAAAGTTACATTTAGATGTCAATAAATATGATTACACAAGTTTCATTTTGCCATTCAATCTTTGCCTGTAAACTTACTGCCATCTCTCCCCTTTCGTTCTATTTCATTTACATTTATAATTCTTCACATCAGAATTGAGTTATTTTTGGAGTTTTGCACTGTTGTTGTCAAGCTGTAAATGGTTATAGTGCTCCCTTATGCGTCATTCTACTTGTTTCTGTTTATGTAATAATTTCACCAATTCTTTTCTTAGGGTGCCCCAAGATGTCGTGGCAACTGGTGGGAAGTGTTCCCTTATGAGATGGGTAAATGGTGAGTTGCACTTATTTTCGCCCATTCTTTTCTTTAGATTTATTTTATTCTTCCATTCATGGTTTTTAATTTTGGAATATTCTTTAGGAGGGCCTTGGATTTTATGTTAGTTTTGGTAGTTTTTCTAGTACTTTGATGCTCTACCAGTGTCTCATATAAAAGTTTAAGTGTGAGTGACGCATTGACATGAAAGTTCAACTAAATTGCTAATGTTGATGCCTTAATCTTTGAGATAATTGTTATAATGTTTGAAGGTCAATCAATTTGAGCTATGTGGAGTATTGGTATTGCAACAGTTTAAGGCAAATATGTGCAGTCTTTCTAGTTCACAATTTGTTATTAAGTTCAGGTACAGGGTAGAATTGGCTATATAGAAAAGGAAATTAGTATGCATGCATAAATATCTTTTAAATTTTCTTTGCAAAGCATCGGTATTGTTCATGACACTCTATTCCCAATTTGATGGGCCTGGATTTCAATGTTGCTTCTCTGAAATGTAGGTGTTTCATTTTTAGGCATTATGGAGGTCAATAGTGTACAATATGCATAGTTCCTCCATACTCTGTGGGTTTAAGTTTGGCCATTAACAGATTGTTCAAGGGTTTTGATCAGACTTGAGTGAAAGCTCAGTTCTTAAATTATGGGGAAGGAGGAAAGAAGGAAAAGATAGAATATTTTCAATATAATGAATGATGGTTCCTAGTTTTTGAGGGGGAAAGTCTGATCTTAAGTGAATAATCTGGTCTTCAGTGAATAATTAATCTTCCTCCACTTTATAAATGTGGTCATCTGACCTGCTGTCTCATTAGTTTTGATTATGCACTTAATCTTAGACAACGCTATTTTGGGGAAGCTTCTTATAGTTGTATATGGGGATGGACCTGTAGGCAGCTTTTATTTTTGATTTGTTGACTTCCAAATGTAACTCTTTCCATGCTTTTTGCTGTCACATATAGAGAACCAATTGAAGGCCCTGAAAGAGAAGGCGAAAGAACCTCCACCACCAGAACCAGAACCAGAACCTACCACTGAGGTTCTTTTCCTTTGCAGTTTCGAAGGCTGTGGAAAAACCTTTATAGATGCCGGTGCTTTGAGAAAGCATTCTCATATCCATGGAGAGAGACAATATGTTTGTCACTATGAAGGATGTGGAAAGGTATCAAAGATGATATTTTTATAATTTTAGTTTGTTCATCTAGTTGTTATTCAGAATTGGAATAGTTTCGATGTTTCCTTCTACTGTTTTCCCTATTCTGCATTAGGGTCCACTGTTGTTAAGGGTTCTCTTTATGCTGCAGAAATTTTTAGATAGTTCGAAGTTGAAAAGACACTTCTTAATTCATACAGGAGAAAGAGATTTTGTATGTCCACATGAAGGCTGTGGTAAGGTGATAAATCTATCTACCATAAAAGTATTCTCTTATTTTCTTTAAGACTATCTTTTTCTTCTATTGGCATTTTATAATGAGATGTTTAAGGTGAAACAATATCTTTGCAAAGTCTGAATTAATTCTTCTGGCTTTTGTTTACATTCAGGTTTTGCTATTATTTTCACTTTTTAACCAGATATTGTTACTTCTCCACATTTTGGTCTTTATTTGCTTGGACATGTTCTCATCTAGCATTGACTTTATTGATGTTTCTGTGGTTCATAGTCAGATTAAAACACAATTTGAAGTTATGACTTGGAATATTTTACATATCATTTCATATAAAAAAATGACTGAGATCTCAAACGGGCCGTGAAACAATGTTTCTGTTTATCGAGGCTATGTGAGGGTTCTTGTAACTGCTAAACAGTCCAGTTTTTTTCTGTATCACTGTGTATCATTGTACTCAAGGTATTATCTTTATGTAGCTCGTATTTGAATGTTCTTATACGTGGTATTCTGTTTCTTTTTTCCAATTTTGTGGGAACTGCAGGCTTTTTCCCTGGATTTCAACCTCAGGTCACACATGAAAACACATTCACAAGAAAACTATCATATCTGCCCATACCCAGAATGTGGAAAGAGATACGCTCATGAGTACAAGTTGAAGAACCACATTGCAGCTCACCATGAAAAGGTTAATTTTTATACTAATAATGTTCTGATAATTAGTCTCACTGTTTGATTTTTGAACTACTTTTGGAATTAGGTTATCACTCATAATGTAGCAACCTAACTCACTGTATAAATTTACGGGTGCAATAACTTTTTGTTTCGTATTTTCCAACTGTATGCATGGTGTCCCTGTTTATTTATGGATCTTAGTGTGTGTGTGTGTGTGTGTGTGTGTGTGTGTGTGTGTGTGTATTATTATAATGATCTGATACTAGAATCTCTATCAATTATACAGCATTCAGCTGCTGAGACAGTGAAATATGCTGCTCCTATGGAGAAGGTAACCAAAGTTTCCAAGCCTTCTGCAGCGACCTATGGCTCCGGTTCTTCAGATCGTCCTTATGCTTGTCCTTACGAAGGATGCATGAAGGCCTACATACATGAATACAAGCTTAAACTCCATTTGAGAAAAGAGCATCCTGGCCATTTTCCAGATGAAAACGCTGAGAATGCCTCTCCCAATGGCGATAATGAGATGGATGAGGGCAGTGATCAAGATGCTTATCCTGAGAAGCGCGTCAATGGTAAAAATCAGAAACATAGTCGGTCCAAGCCAAACTTGAAAATGCCTCCAGCAAAAATCACACAACGGAAAGGTTCAAGTCCAGCTCGGGCCACTCTAAATGTGGTGAAAAAATCTTGGCCAGTCAAAGAAGAAATATATGAAGAGGAAGATAGTGAAGAGACTGAGGAGGAGGATCGTGACAAGGCAGAAGATGGTTGGAGATATGGGGAAAACAATGAGGATGATGATGAGGAAACAGAGTATGAAGATTGAAGAGTGAAGAGTAAAGCACATGCTGTCATTTTTCTTTTTTCAATCCTATTCTTGTATTATAGTTTTCTTTTATATTTTTCTCTAAAATAATGTTAAACCTGAAGAAAGTTGTAATTTTTAAAATTTAAAATTTTCCTTCTCTAATACTTAAATCAAGAAAACAAAAATATGAATATAATTTTCCTTCTAATTCCTGGACAAACGAAATTAGATTTACTATTTGAATAGGTTTGGAATATATAGTTATTATTAATTTTTATTTCAAATTTGTAATATGGGTTGGATTAAACATGTCAATTGTTCATTTCATTCCCTGCATATACACGTCAATTTCATGTTATTGGCCTAAGAATATAAATTTAAATTGTCATAAGAAAACATAAATTGGTCGATAAGTAATTTTATATTCATGAAAATTTAATTGTAAAATTATAATAATATTTTTTATTAGAAATATATCATTTCCTTAACTTTAATTGTTAAAATTTTTATTTTATTATGTTATAAAAAAAATTCTTTTTTTCTATTTCGTGCAATACTCTTAGATTTTCAGTAATATAAATTATTCATACTTAATATTATAATTTATAATAAAAATTAATAAAAAATAAATAAAAATTAAGTTACATTTACTTGCAAAATGTAAAAATCAGTGCAGTACAGGTTCGAAAAAACTAAATATTAGTCTTTGGCAATTCCAATATTCTTATGCTCTATACTCACATTTGTGTGTGTCTATATATTATACACGCACACAATACAGTGTCCACGTTGGAGCTATGAGTGATAAAAATCACTCATTAATCGTAATTTTAGATTTTCAACTTTTAATCTACTGTCAGGTCGTATGTACACTTACCACTGTGATATACCTTGGTGTATAGATATAAAATGTTAAGTTAATTACAATATACTCTAGCTTTTGCATTTTTGGCAAGTATTCTCAATTATTTTCATAGTAATAAATTGTTTGCTATTGAAAAAACAAATTACCAATAAAAGCCAACTGCATAGTCAACAAATAGCTACTGGTTTCGGTTACAAACAATGAAGAAAAAGATTTTTAGTAAAATAAGTAAAAAGGAAAGAGAAAATTCTTCTTTCATGAAAATTTAAATAAATTTTACAAAATCTTTTGAAATTTATTTATTAAAATTATTAAATTAAAATAAGAATTAAAGTCTCCTTCCAAATGTCACCTACTAATCAAATTTTCTTACAAATGTCTCTTTAAATCCATAAGAGTCTCACTATCTTTATCCTTTTTTCAGAAATGTCTCTGAACAATCTTACCCTTTTCACCTATAAATGTCTATTTGCAAAATATGTGAGAATTTCTTATTTATTTTCTTTGAATTTGTTATGAATTTTAAGTGAAGACTTTAATTTAAAGACCATTTAAGAGAAATTAAAAAATAAAAGGCAAATTAAATTAAAATGTATCTAATCAACATCTAAGCATTTTTTGAAATGTTTATTTAGTAGTCAAATTAATAAATTATTGTCTCTCATATAGCTTTTGCATTTTGGAAAGTATTAATAATTTCTAATTAAAGTTACCATAATGAAAGCAATTTGTAACTGCAGCTATATATGGTTTTCAGTTGCAAACAATGACGAAAGGAGTTTCAGGAAAATAAAAAAAAAAAAAAGCTAAAAGGAAAAATGAAGGGTTGGCTTTTTTCTTTTTCCTATAAATTCGTTTTCACCTTTACCCCTTTGATAAAATTTTACATACGGTAATTATGATTGCGGTTGAAAAATGTTAATTCATTTTACCAATAAGTGTTATATGCTTTAAACTGGGAGGGATTATATATATATTATATATATATATATATATATATATATGTCAAGCTTGAAATGTTGATCACTAACGTTTAATTTGTGGTTTCAAATTCATGTTAAGTTTTTTTAACATATGATGATATAAGGTTCTTCAAACCTTTCAAATTCTAATAAAAAAATAGGAAAAATATATATACATGTAAAAATAATAAATTTAGGTTTAGGGTTCATGGTTTCATTGAGGTTTAAGATTTAAATTTTAGGGTTTTATATTTAGGATTTAAGATCTAGGGTTAAAATTTATTGTAATAGAACTTATTATTTTTTATTTTATCTAGTCCTTAGCGTATCTTAGGTATGTATATGTTTTAGACTTATGAAACATAGGCATTAAAAAGAGAAAGAAAACATGTAACTGAACACCAATAGGGCAAATATTCACGGTTATGAGCGATAATGATCACTTATGACAAAATAAAAGATCGAAAGAATTGCTTTTATTTATATATAGAGTCTATGTTAGAATCTTATAATTTATTATATCAGCTTAAAAAGATAAATTATGTCGGTATCGAAAATGTTTATGAAGTTTTGATAAATAAAATTTATGTTGACTAAGTTAGAATCTTATTATATTATTACGTCAATTTAGAAAGATAAATTATGTTTGTATCAAAAAAGTTTTCTTATGTAATCAAAGCTTCACAGACATTTTCGATACCGACAAAATTTATCTTTTTAAGCTACTATAATATAATACAGGATTCTTATATTTATTTTATGTAATCAAAGCTCCACGATACCGACAAGATTTATCTTTTTAAGCTAATATAATATATTACAAGATTCTTATATTTATTTTATGTAATCAAAGTCGATAGCAATATAATTTATCTTTTTAAGGTGATGTAATTTATTATAAGATTCTAACTTAGTTAACATAAAGAAAAGCAATTCTTCCATTCTTTTATTCTTACTCATAATCATTTTTATTTATGTAATCAAAGCTACATGAACATTTTCGATAGCAATATAATTTATCTTTTTAAGGTGATGTAATTTATTATAAGATTCTAACTTAGTTAACATAAAGAAAAGCAATTCTTCCATTCTTTTGTTCTTACTCATAATCATTTTTATTTATGTAATTAAAGCTTCATAGAACATTTTTCATTGCCAACATAATTTATCTTTTTGAGTGCACATAATATATATCATATGATTCTAACTTAGTCAACATAATTCTATCTAACATAATGTATATTTCTTTTTATTTTTATAAGATTATTTATAATGAAGTCCTTTTTATATTCACAAAGTTACTATTAAAAAAAATGCTTCTTATTACGATACTAATAGATTGAATATGTATAATTGTATATGAAGAAGAATTAAAAGAAAATGAAGCAAATGTAAATACATTTTTCTGCCACTTAATTAATAATTATAGTTAAATACGTGAAAAAGATAAAAAAAAAGAGGATATATATGTTTTTTTTTTGAAGGATACGGGATATATATGTTTGTTCTCTAAATTTTTATTAATTTATTTGTTTTTTAGTACTTGTATTAGAGGTATTTTCAACCCATTTTTGTCTTTTAATATAGATATTAGATTTTTTTTTTTTGGATATTCGCAAGAATAATATATTATTAATAATCAAAACATCCTCATAATTATAATATGCATGATCAAATCCAAAACTAATATGATAGAGTTAATTATTCTAACTCTTTTAACAAATTTTCAATAATTAAATTATAAAAAATTTTAACTATAATGACAATTTGCGATTTCACACTTATTTTATTATCTAGATTTTTAAAGAAAATGTAGAGAGCAATTAAAAAAAAAAAGAAAAGAGAAAAGATAACAAATTGCTGATTCTCAATATAAATTAAACCCAAATTAAATTAATTAATCAAGAAGACCAAAATTTACCAAGACTTCACCAAAAGAAATAAAGGTAAGTGGACCTTAAAAAAAGCAGGTTATTTTAACAATAATTATAACCACCAACCAAAATACATCTCCTTTTCCAATCTTCATAAAAATTTAGACTAAACAATTTCATACATTGAGATTCTCTAATAAAAGCCCTAATTAGGGGCAGGTGAAGTATTTATGTCCTTATTTGTAAGTTTTTCTTTGTAATTATCCATTTTTTCTTCTTTTCAAATCCCTTTTTAGGTACGAGATAATCTTATTTTAAAATTTATAATTGTCTCTCTCTCTACAAATATTTTTCAACCGCTGAAATCCTAATCTTACAAAAACCGTCTGTTGAATTCAAAACCCGTCTGTTGAATTCAAAAGTATCTTACCACTCCCAATGAGCCGTTTTCTTCTCTTTTCTTTCTTCTCCACTATATAAACAACTGCAGGCCCTTACTAACTTTTCCACTGAAAATCAAGGAACATACTTTCTTTCTCACTGCAAATCAAGAAAGAAACTTTCTTTCTCACTGCTTTCGAGAAACTCTTTCAGTTTAACAATGGAAACAACCGTTCTAATTGTTGGAGCTGGCCCAGCTGGGCTAGCCATGTCCGTTTGTCTCTCTAACATCTTGGTCTCCAATATTATGCTGGAAAAGGAAGATTGTCACGCTTCCCTATGGAAGCGCAGGTCGTACAATCGCCTCCACTTGCATTTAGCCAAAGAGTTCTGTGAATTACCCTACATGCCTCACTTGCCCGAGACACCTACTTTCATGCCAAAGGAAACGTTTATCGATTACATGGATAAATATGTTAGAGAGTATAATTTAAGTCCGTTGTTTAGTCGCTATGTTGTTTCTGCTTCTTTTGATCAAGTTTTAAGGAAATGGATTGTTGAAGCTGAGAATTCAATTTCAGGAGAAATTGAACGTTATGTTGCTAAGTTTTTAGTGGTAGCAACTGGTGAAAATTCCAGTCCCTATATTCCTAGGGTTCCTGGGCTTGACAGTTTTTCTGGGAGTCTGATTCACTCTAGTCAGTATAAAAATGGGTCTGAATATGAGGGTAAGAATGTTCTTGTTGTTGGTTCTGGGAATTCTGGAATGGAGATCAGTTTAGATCTTTCTAACTATGGAGCCAGACCCTCAATTGTTATTAGAAGCCCTGTAAGTTTTCTTTTCCTTTTCTTTTTTCTTTCCCATCATTTTCACTTGTTAATTGAAATTAAATGAAAAGATGGCAGATTTGGATGGATCTATTGCATGGCCTCCATGCATTGAGGTCACCAGCTTGGAAGAATTAATTATGCCAAATTGTAACAAATAAATAGAAAAACTAAAAAACTAATACAATTAAACTGAAATTATAATAATTTGTGTGTAAATATAGAAGATGGTCATAGAAATGGTTTTGCAGTTTCATGTTGTAACCAGGGAGATGATATATAGAGGAATGCGGCTCTTGAAGTACCTTCCACTGAGCGTGGTGGATGCTTTGGTTGGCCTGGAAACAAGAATTGAATATGGTGACCTGTCACCATTTGGGATCGATCGACCCTCCGATGGACCTTTCACTCACAAACTGTTAACAGGAAAAACTCCTGTTATTGATGTTGGTACAGTCAAGAAAATTCGTTCAGGAGAAATACAGGTAAAACAAGCAAAAATAAAATTTTTGTTTCTATAAAACATCTCCTTTTTCTAGTGATTCTTGTGATTAAATACTTTATTTTGCAAGGTTGTTCCTGAGATGATTGAAGTTACTCAAGATAAGGTAGAGTTCAAAAATGGAACTAAGCAGCATTTTGATGCAATAGTATTCGCGACGGGCTACAAAAGCGTAGCTAAAGACTGGCTGAAGGTAAAAATTTCCAAGAAATACTAATCTTTATTGTAACTGCAACAACAAATGAGTTAATTACCATTGATGAATTCTTTTTTGTTGTGTAGGACTATAGTTTCATATTTAACGATGATGGGATGCCAAAAAATTCATTTCCGAGCCACTGGAAAGGGGAAAACGGTATTTACTGCATTGGATTTTCCAGAAATGGCATATTAGGCATTACAAATGATGCAAAAAATGTTGCAAATGATATCAGTATGAACCTCGGTGCTTAATTGGCAGCCAGAGAGGGATAATGAAATGAGTTGAAGGTTCAAGAACATGCCCACTACAAATTATGCAACTTTGTACCTAAATATGATAAATTGTAGGACTTTCAATATATGAGTGGGTTGTAATGTAAAATATAAAGTTTATGTATTTGGAAATGCTTCCTAGCTACTTTCCTTCCATTCTTTCTCTCTTATTTTTTTTTTTCAAGCTTTTTCACTTCCAATATGCCTATATGGCTCCTACAATGTGAGATATATCTTGTTTGGATTTTGAAGGAATAACGTGTTTTACAATATATAAATACAATGATATATATATGATTTGAACCATAATTGAACTATTAAAAATTCATGTTGGAATTGACTCAAAAATTTCGATTTTTTGATTTCAATTTTGGTACCTCAGTCACAGGGTTTCATATTGGAATTGGCAGTTTAACTTGCTGAATAAGAAAAACTTAGCATTAGATATCCAAAATTAGCCTCGACAAACTTATTCTTGAAAAAAAAAAATGGAGACTCTCTCCATATAAAAGGGCCAGCAAGATTTTTTTTATCAGTAAGCCATTTAATTTTATTAAATTTGAAGAAGCTAAAAAAGTCAGGAAAAGCTTAACGAGACAGATGCCTACAGCTCCAGCCATAACATGAGCTACCATATTTGCTTGGCGAGGTATTCAATCGACAACGCAATAGTTACCATTTCTTAGCAATCTACTGCTATTTCTTATATATTAATTTAATATAATCAAAATTAGTCATTGAAATTTGTTATTATTACATTAGAAAATATATTTGAATTTCTTTATATGGGTAAATTAAAAAATTATATAAGAAAAGTATAATACGCAAAAAAAAAAAAAAAAAAAAAAAAAAAAAAAAAAAAAAAAAAAAAAAAAAAAAAAAAAAAAAAAAAAAAAAAAAAAAACTGTCGAAGACAATTGTCTTGTGTCTGATATGGAAAGACTTGGTGTAGATTTGGCCAAAAATTAGTCAAGGAAAATGCCAAATGTCAATCATGCAGAAACTATATATAAATTTGCGAATTGAGAAGGGAGATAATTAGCCAACGAGTTTGCCATTTGTGAATTCTTATGCATGCATGCGTTACATATGTATAGACACACTTGACCGTTTCGAAATTTGAATATAATATTTATATTCTTTTATCTATATATTTTAAAATAATTTACCAAGAATTGAAAGGATAGAGGTGAATTGAGTAAGAGGTAAGAATCTATAATGTGAAAATACATTATATGGGTTTACTTGGGTTTTGGGCGAACCAATATTAAAAAGTTAGTAACCTTTTAGTATTGGTTGGCCCAAGTAAGCATATATCACACATGTTCTAACTTTTATGCATGCATGCGTTATATATGTATAGACACACTCGAGCTTTTCAAAATTTGACTATCATATTTATACTTTTTATATATATTTTTAAAAATAATTTAGCAGAGTTGAAATGGTAGATGTGAATTAAGTAAGAGGTAAGAATCCATGATGTGAAAACAAGTGATATGAGCTTACTTAGGTTTGGGCGAACAAATACTAAAAGGTTAGTAATCGTTTAACATTGGTTGGCCCAAGTACGCCCACATCACACATGTTCTAACCTTTATGCATGCATGCATTACATATGTATAGACACACTCGAACATTTCGAAATTTGACTATCATATTTATATTTTTTATATGTATTTTTTAAATAATTTAGTAGAGTTAAAAGGGTAAAGGTAAATTGAGTAAGACGTAAGAATCCATGATATGAAAATACGTGATATGAGCTTAAATTGGGTTTGGACGAACCAATACTAAAAGGTTAGTAATCGTTTAACATTGGTTGACCCAAGTAAGCCCACATCACACATGTTCTAACCTTTATGCATGCATGCGTTACATATGTATAGACACACTCGAACATTTCGAAATTTGACTATCATATTTATATCATATTTATATTTTTTATATCTATTTTTAAAAATAATTTAGCAGAGTTAAAAGGGTAAAGGTGAATTGAGTAAGACGTAAGAATCCATGATATGAAAATACGTGATATGAGCTTAAATTGAGTTTGGACGAACCAATACTAAAAGGTTAGTAATCGTTTAACATTGGTTGGCCCAAGTAAGCCCATATCACACATGTTCTAACCTTTATGCATGCATGCGTTACATATGTATAGACACACTCGAACATTTCGAAATTTGACTATCATATTTATATTTTTTATATCTATTTTTTTTAAAATAATTTAGCAGAGTTAAAAGGGTAAAGGTGAATTGAGTAAGAATCCATGATGTGAAAATACGTGATATGAGCTTACTTGGGTTTGGGCGAACCAATACTAAAAGGTTAATAAACTTTTAACATCAGTTGGCCCAAGTAAGCCTACATCACATATGTTCTAACCTTTATGCATGCATGCGTTACATATGTATAGACACACTCGAGCGTTTCGAAATTTGACTATCATATTTATATTTTTTATAATAATTCAGCAAAGTTAAAAGAGTAAAGGTGAATTGAGTAAGAAGTAAGAATACGTGATGTGAAAGTACGTGATATGAGCTTATTTGAGTTTGGGCGAACCAATACTAAAAGGTTAGTAACCTTTTAACATTGGTTGGCCCACAAAGCCCACATCACACATGTTCTAACCTTTATGCATGCGTTACATATGTATAAACACACTTGAGCATTTCGAAATTTGACTAACATATTTATATTTTTTATTTATATATTTTAAAATAATTTAGCAGAGTTGAAAGGGTAGATGTGAATTGAGTAAGAGGTAAGAATCCATAATGTGAAAATACGTGATATGAGCTTACTTGGGTTTGGACAAACCAATACTAAAAGGTTAGTAACTGTTTAACATTGGTTGGACCAAGTACGCCCACATCACACATATTCTAACCTTTATGCATGCATGCGTTACATATGTATAGAAACACTCGAGCGTTTCAAAATTTGACTATCATATTTATATTTTATTTTATATATAATATATATATATATATATATATTAAAATAATTTAGCAGAGTTAAAAGAGTAAAGGTGAATTAAGTAAGAGATAAGAATCCACGGTGTGAAAATACGTGGTATGAGCTTACTTGGGTTTGGGCGAACCAATACTAAAAGGTTAGTAACCTTTTAACATTAATTGGCCCAAGTAAGCCCACATCATACATGTTCTAACCTTTATGCATGCATAGCGTTACATATACATAGACACACTAGAGCGTTTCAAAATTTGACTATCATATATATATATTTAAAATAATTTAGCAGAGTTGAAAGGGTAGATGTGAATTTAATAAGAGGTAAGAATCCATGATGTGAAAATACGTGATATGAGCTTACTTGGATTTGAGCGAACCAATACTAAAAGGTTAGTAACTGTTTAACATTGGTTGGCCCAAGTACATCCACATCACACATGTTCTAACCTTTATGCATGCATGCATGCGTTACATATGTATAGACACACTCGAGCAGTTGACTATCATATATAATATATATATATATATTATTATATATATATATAATAATTTAGCAAAGTTGAAATGGTAGATGTGAATTGGGTAAGAGGTAAAAATTCATGATGTGAAAATACGTGATATGGGCTTACTTGGGTTTGGGCGAACCAATACTAAAAGCTTAGTAACCTTTTAACATTGGTTGGCCCAAGTAAGCCCACATCACACATGTTCTAACCTTTATGCATGCATGCGTTGCATATGTATAGATGCACTTAAGCATTTCGAAATTTGACTATCATATTTATATTTTTTATAATATATATTTTTAACATAATTTAGCTGAGTTAATAGGGTCAGGTGAATTTTTTGAGTAAGAGGTAAGAATCCATGATGTGAAAATACGTGATATAAGCTTACTTGAATTTGAGCAAACCAATGCTATAAGGTTAGTAACATTTTAACATTCGTTGGCCCAAGTAAGCCCACTTCACACATGTTTTAACTTTATGCATGCATGCATTACATATGTATAGACACACTCGAGCGTTTTGAAATTTGACTATCATATTTATATTTTTTATATATTTTTTAAAAATAATTTAACAGAGTTGAAAAGGTAGAGGTGAATTGAGTAAGATGTAAGAATCCATGATGTGAAAATACGTGATATGAGCTTACGTGGGTTTGGGCGAAATATATTAAAATGTTAGTAACCTTTTAACATTGATTGCTCCAAGTAAGCCCACATCACACATGTTCATCTCATGAGTTCTAACCTTTTACTCAATTCATCTTTGCCCTTCCAATTTGTAATAATGAAACTTAAATTTAATTGTAAAAATGAATTAATTCATTGATATAATAATCAAAAGGTTAAATTAGTACAAAAAGCTTGAACTTTGATGCTATTTAGAAAATACTTTTAATTGAGCAAATACTTTTAATAATAATTTATTGATTTCTCTATTTGAAACGATGTGTTTTGAGTTAACTTGACCATGAGAAAAATTATAGTCCCACAAAAAATATTCACAAATTAACAACTTAAATCGAACTAAAATTAATAAAATTAATTCACTTTGTAATTCAATTTTATCATCTGTGTTTAGCCTTGCTTGTATCTAACATTCTGTGCAATTTCTTTTGTTTTTTCAAAATTAAAATTATCTTAATTCTATATAAGAATGAGAGATTCTTCACAAGTGCATGTAATTTGTACAAAGACATTCGATTTTTTAAAATTTAATCAACAAGCATATTTATAATTTTAAATAATAATAAAAAAATATTATACATCTGCGCAATACGCAGTAGGTCACCTAATTTTATATATGTGGATAAGTTGAAGGCGAAAAATGAATTACCAATTAATAATTTATATTATAATATATACTAGAAATAACTTATATAAACTCCTAAAATTTAAGGGTCTAGAATGGAAAAAAAAAATGCTATTATGATAACTTCTTAAAGAAGTTGACATGAAAAGATAAAGAAAAAAGAAAGAAAATCAAAAGCTGTAAAACCTATGCCATAAAAACCATGCACCAATAAAGAAAATTATCTGTCAAGCTACCTTAATTAATCCTTTAGAGGTTTTAAAAAAGAAATAAAAACTCATTGCTAAATTAGCAAAATATTTCCAATTTTGACTACAAAAGTATAATTATAACTAAGTTTTCCAAATTA